GCTTCAAAAAACATTTTGGTTCCTGGGCAGCATTTTCCTGACCATGGAGTCACGCGTTTTCTTCCCCAGGCACCAAAAAGGCTTGATTTTTAAAAAGTGGAAGAAACACCATTTTTAGACATGGAATTTCATCCCGAAACTCATCCTGGTGTCCCTTTTTTCATTTGGCTTCAAAAAAAAAATTGGCTTCAAAAAACATTTTGGGCAGCATTTTTCGTGACCGCGGAGTCACGCGTTTTCTTCCCCAGGCACCAAAAAGGCTCGACTTTTAAAAAGTGGAAGCAACACCATTTTTAGACATGGAATTTCATCCCGAAACTCATCCTGGGGCCCGTTTTTGCATTTGGCTTCAAAAAAAAAATTTGGCTTCAAAAAACATTTTGGTTCCTGGGCAGCAATTTCCTGACCATGGAGTCACGCGTTTTCGTCCCCAGGCACCAAAAAGGCTTGATTTTTAAAAAGTGGAAGCAACACCATTTTTAGACATGGAATTTCATCCCAAAACTCATCCTGGGTCCCGTTTTTGTATTTGGCTTCAAAAAAAAAATTGGTTTCAAAAAACATTTTGGTTCCTGGGCAGCATTTTTTCTGACCGCGGAGTCACGCGTTTTCTTCCCCAGGCACCAAAAAGGTTCGATTTTTAAAAAGTGGAAGCAACACCATTTTTAGACATGGAATTTCATCCTGAAACTCATCCTGGTGTCCCTTTTTTCATTTGGCTTCAAAAAAAAAAATTGGCTTCAAAAAACATTTTCGTTCCTGGGCAGCATTTTTCCTGACCGCGGAGTCACGCGTTTTCTTCCCCAGGCACCAAAAAGGCTCGATTTTTAAAAAGTGGAAGCAACACCATTTTTAGACATGGAATTTCATCCCGAAACTCATCTTGGTGTCCGTTTTTTCATTTGGCTTCAAAAAAAATAATTTGGCTTCAAAAAACATTTTGGTTCCTGGGCAGCATTTTCCTGACCATGGAGTCACGCGTTTTCGTCCCCAGGCACCAAAAAGGCTTGATTTTTAAAAAGTGGAAGCAACACCATTTTTAGACATGGAATTTCATCCCGAAACTCATCCTGGTGTCCCTTTTTTCATTTGGCTTCAAAAAAAAATTGGCTTCAAAAAACATTTTGGTTCCTGGGCAGCATTTTTCCTGACCGCGGAGTCACACGTTTTCTTCCCCAGGCACCAAAAAGGCTCGATTTTTAAAAAGTGGAAGCAACACCATTTTTAGACATGGAATTTCATCCCGAAACTCATCCTGGTGTCCGTCTTTTCATTTGGCTTCAAAAAAAATAATTTGGCTTCAAAAAACATTTTGGTTCCTGGGCAGCATTTTCCTGACCGCGGAGTCACGCGTTTTCTTCCCCAGGCACCAAAAAGGCTTGATTTTCAAAAAGTGGAAGCAACACCATTTTTAGACATGGAATTTCATCCCGAAACTCATCTTGGTGTCCGTTTTTTCATTTGGCTTCAAAAAAAATAATTTGGCTTCAAAAAACATTTTGGTTCCTGGGCAGCATTTTCCTGACCATGGAGTCACGCGTTTTCTTCCCCAGGCACCAAAAAGGTTCGATTTTCAAAAAGTGGAAGCAACACCATTTTTAGACATGGAATTTCATCCCGAAACTCATCTTGGTGTCCGTTTTTGCATTTGGCTTAAAAAAAAAATTGGCTTCAAAAAACATTTTGGTTCCTGGGCAGCATTTTTTCTGACCACGGAGTCACGCGTTTTCTTCCCCAGGCACCAAAAAGGCTCGATTTTTGAAAAGTGGAAGCAACACCATTTTTAGACATGGAATTTCATCCCGAAACTCATCCTGGTGTCCGTTTTTGCATTTGGCTTCAAAAATAAAATTGGTTTCAAAAAACATTTTGGTTCCTGGGCAGCATTTTTCCTGACCGCGGAGTCACGCGTTTTCTTCCCCAGGCACCAAAAAGGCTCGATTTTTAAAAAGTGGAAGCAACACCATTTTTAGACATGGAATTTCATCCCGAAACTCATCCTGGTGTCCATTTTTGCATTTGGCTTCAAAAAAAAAATTGGCTTCAAAAAACATTTTGGTTCCTGGGCAGCATTTTTTCTGACCGCGGAGTGACGCGTTTTCTTCCCCAGGCACCAAAAAGGTTCGATTTTTAAAAAGTGGAAGCAACACCATTTTTAGACATGGAATTTCATCCCGAAACTCATCCTGGTGTCCGTTTTTGCATTTGGCTTCAAAAAAAAAATTGGCTTCAAAAAACATTTTGGTTCCTGGGCAGCATTTTTCCTGACTACGGAATCACGCGTTTTCTTCCCCAGGCACCAAAAAGGCTCGATTTTTAAAAAGTGGAAGCAACACCATTTTTAGACATGGAATTTCATCCCGAAACTCATCCTGGTGTCCGTTTTTGCATTTGGCTTTAAAAAAAAAAAACTGGCTTCAAAAACATTTTGGTTCCTGGGCAGCATTTTTCCTGACCGCGGAGTCACGCGTTTTCTTCCCCAGGCACAAAAAAGGCTCGATTTTTAAACAGTGGACTGATGAACGTAACCGACTGCTTGTATCAGTTCGAAGTGAATTTTGTATATTTTTTAATATTTCTCAACGTTGTACTGAAATTAAAGAATTATTCCTTAAACACAAAGAATTGATCAAAGCTGTGCAGTCAAATAAAAAATACACACGACAGCAAAGTAAAAGGTAATTTAATATTTTACATATTATTATAATATATTTGATGTTTTGAATTTTAAGTAAAGTTTTGAAGTGATTATTTTAATACGTGTTAAAATGTTTGTAAGAAAATATATAATTTAATTGTAATTTTTTTTTTACTACTTAACCCCCCCCCTCCCACTTGTCCGCTATTTTTTAGAAGCAGACCTGGCAACCCTACAGAATTCCCAGCCCCTGGGCGGCCTCGCTAGGGATTCAGGGAAATGTGGTCCAATGCCTCTTGGTGCACCTGCTAGCCAAACGAAGGGTCCCACTAGATATGATCTGGGAAAGATTGCAGCAAAAAAAGCATCCAGCATCATGAAATACTGGAATAGGAATTTGGTGTTTTTCGAGTTTTGAAACTTTGCATGGACAAAATCCCGTATTTTAAGGCGGTGTGGAATAAATCACAGGCTCCCCAGCTCTGGAAATTTATTAATTCAATTTAATTCAATTATTAATTCAATTTTAATGAAATAATCAGAGTTGCCACCGGTCCTCTTCATCTTCTTTACAAGGGTGTGTTTTGCCACCCGGTGGCAAGTTTGAGAACTATTTGGAACCCCTTTTCTTTTCCAGCCCCAAGTTTGTACATTTGTAGGCGTGCTTTTATTTTGCTCGCTTCTTCATGTCTTCTCAGCGTGCAGCTGAAATTGATCAGGCACAAGCGGATCCTTTTGATGGTTTAATGTAGGAATCACTAAACCGCAATAAATTAACAGCTGCCAGGCATCTCTGTTAGCCAGCCAGGTGATTTAGACTGTTTATATTCTCTGCGTTATTCATTGACCTGGTCTTGTTTTTTTATCAAAGTGGGGAGTTCAGAGATGGGCCGCTTACATCCTTCCGTGTTGCAATCTTTTGTCCCGGCCTTCATAGATCATGTACAAATCCTTGAAATCAATACACACGCCAGTATTTCCTCTCACAAACTCCCATCTTCGTTAGAGGGAGAATAGGAATGAATGTACTCCCTTTTCCACGTCACAATGCATATTTTAAATCAGGCTCTCTCAGCTTGGGTAGCATCACAATACAAAGGTTACTTTAAATCCCTGGGTTTTTTAAATCAGAGTGGCAACCTAACCTCATTTGGATTACAATTCTCTACATTTAAGAAGCACATTCCCTTACTCTGCAGGAGGAGATGCGCAACCAGCAGGGGGTACAGCAGATACTTTCCAAGCTAAACAAAATATCACCTGCACCCACCAGCAAAGCCCAAATTCTTTCCATCTTGAATTCATTGATGAATTGCTCACTCCGGGATTTCCACATATCTTAAACTCCCATGGATGCACCCACTATTGCCTGTTCTCCATTCTAAATCCCAAGGCATAAGGGTGAAACATCTCAATTTCAAGCAGAAACAGGATCACGTTCTAAAGTTTTGGGACTCTGCATTTCCTTAAAGATCTTCTACTTTAGCAGGCTATCATAAGAGAGCTGCTCCCCGATATCTCTTCTGTCCTTGGTGTTTGCCTTGACTAGATGGATGGCCCTACCCAACAATTATTTATTTAGGGATGAGAATGCTGATCTTCATGGCACCAAGGAGCTCAGCGTTTCCCTTTCCAACATTTAAGTCATGGTAAATTACGTAGCTTTGGTAGTACAGTGGTTTAAGGCACCCTGTTATTAAGCTGGTTATTAAGACCAGCTGCCTGCAATTACTGCAGGGTTCGAATCTCGCCAAGGCTCAAGGTTGACTCAGCCTTCCATCCTTTCTAAGGTAGGTAAATTGAGGACCCAGTTGTGGGGGCAATAAGCTGACATTGTATAAATATACAAAAGGATGAAGGCTATTGCTGAGCACATTGTAAGCCACTCTGAGTCTTCGGAGAAGGGCGGCATATAAATCAAATTTAAAAAAAAAAAGTTTTCAGGATAGCCAGGAGGATCCATCATATACTGGAATCAGGTCAGTCTCCTTCAGCACTAACCACAAATGACTGGGGATTATGGGCATTGGAATCCGATGTATCTGGGCGACATCAGATTGTGAGAAGCTAAATCGCCTTTCTAAATGCATGCAATTGAAAACCAGCATCCTAGTTGGTGCAACTGAAAGTCAGCTGCTCCCAAATTTAACTGTCGTATACTCTGGGAAACAGGGTGGGAGGTTAGATGGATCCCTGGTATGATCCACAGGTGTCTGCTTGACTCATGACATGCTACTTCTCTACTGCAAAGAATTCCATATATCTCCAGAAACATCCTTCCGTGCGGCATGAAATAATACAGTCCTGGAAAACTCAGTTCCACTGAGTTTACCTTTTCAAACAATTTACTCTCAGGTCCAGGTTTTTAAGTCTGCAAAACGTTTTATTTTCCTTATTTAAATACAATACAATAAATACAATAAATATATTCAAACTCACAGCCACATATATAGTTATCTCTTAAAAATACTAAAAAAATACAATTTCAATGAAAAAATACAATTTCATCTGTGAAGTTACGCAGTTACATGCACCAAATGGGGGAAGAGAAAGGGAGGGGCAGAGAGAGAGAGAGAGAGAGAGAGAGAAAGAAGAGAACATCAGATTTATTTAATTAAAAAAAAACACTGAACAATTAACAAACTAAACAACAAGACATTTCACATTTTGCAAAGCGGGGATTTCCCAATGGACACGAGATTGTTCTGGTTGCACCATTTTTTTCTGTCCGCAAAAGGACAGAAAAAAAAGATTCATGGGAATGAATATATTAGCAATATCTGGCTTTTATCCCTTCCTTTTTGCTAGGAAGAATCCCAAGGCCTTTCATTTCATTTCAGTTCAATTCCAAGAAAACAAAAGCAGATCTCATCTGCCTTCTTTTGGTTCTTCTCTGAATATCTCTCGGGCCTTGTCGATATTCTGCTGAAGAATATTCAGAGCCCATGACTCTTAGTGATGCCTGCGGGGAAGTTGGGGGACTCAAGAAAAAGGGGAGAGGGAGAGGGGATGTGGGAGAGGGACCAAGTTTGCACAACAAGCTACCTTTGTAGGTCTCAAAAATGTCACTCTTTTCCAAACATAGCAGCGTTAAAAGTTTCAAGCACGGGTTTTATTTATGTTATTTAACCAAAATGCTTTTTATCACTTGGACCCCCCCAGCCCCTGAAAGGCTACCCACCCCACTCAAAATAATGTTTCCAAGCCTAGGAAGAGCAATCTACCATTTCTCCCCCACCCGTGCTGAAATTTGGGGTGGATGGGACGGTGCTGGGAGAACTATTTCATCTCAAAATGAAATCAGCTTGTCTGCTTTTTAAATAGACTCCTAAGAGTGTTATATTTTTTCCCCCTTAATTAGTGCTTTGGATCTAGTGGTGGGTTTCAAAATTTTTTACTACGGTACCAGTTCTGTGGGTATGGCTTGGTGGGCGTGGCTTGGTGGGCGTGGCAGGGGAATGATACTGCAAAGTCTCCATTCCCACCCCACTCCAGGGGAAGGGTACTGTAAAATCTCTATTTCCTCCTGATCAGCTGGGACAGATGGGGTGGGGCCAGTCAGAGGTGGCATTTATCGGTTCTCCGAACTATTCAAAATTTCCGCTATCGTTTCTCCAGAACTGGTCAGAGCCTGCTGAAACCCCACCTGTGTTTGGATGGTATGTTTTTATCACGCTTTGCAAAGCTACTTCGTGTATTTTTACAGTTCAAAACTGGTTTTTTTGGCTCTGGTCCTTTGTTGTGGCTCTTAGTAAAATTCAAACCCATCTTCACAGAGAGGAAAAACAGGTGTGAAAGAGAATCAACAGCTACAAAACTGCATCGTGCAAGGTCTATTTTTCAGAGCGTTGCAACCATCGCCTAGTGGTTACCCCCCCCTACAAAAATGCACTTATTGTGCCTTTGTATGTGGCAATGAGCAGCTGTATTAAACAAAAGGCTTAGCTCTTTCCTTTAATTGTCACAACCGCACACTCTAACACAGCATTTCTCAATTTCGGAAACCTTTAAGATGCATGGACTTCAATTGAGAAGAGCCTGTAGTACAGTGGACTAAGCACTGTTATTAACACCAGCTGTCTGCAATTACTGTAAGTTCGAATCTCACCAGGCTCAAGGTTGACTCAGCCTTCCATCCTTTCTAAGGTAGGTAAATTGAGGACCCAGTTTGTGGGGGCAATAAGCTGACTTTGTATAAATATACAAAAGGATGAAGGCTATTGCTTAACGCATTGTAAGCCGCCCTGAGTCTCCGGAGAAGGGCGGCATATAAATTAAAGCAAAAAAAAAAAAAATTCCCAGAATTCCCCAGCCTGCAAGTTGGGTAGATATAGTGGTTAAGGCACCAGGCTTGAAATCAAGAGACTGAAAAGTCTAGTCCCGCCCTAGGCATGAAAGCCAACTGAATGGCATTCTCCCTCCATCCCAACCTTCTCAGGTTGTTGTGGGGAAAAGGAGGAGGAGGAAGTATTAGGTATGTTTGCCACCTTGAGGTATTTATAAAAATAATAAAGGTAGGATATAAATAAATAAATACACAGACAGATAAGCAAGCAAGCTCTGCTCTCCGGATGTTGCATTGTTTTTTTTTTCCTGCAATAACACGTTGAGCCTTGATTGTCTAGCAAGATGATTCCTATTGGGTTAATTCCTATTATATCTGAACTGAATCCAGTAGTTTGCAGAGCTAAAGGGTTTCTTATTAAATCTCACATCTATCAGAAACAGGAGCAGGCCCCACATTCTTTCAGGGGTCAGTATCCAAGACTCAACCCTTGATAGCGGGACAGTCCTATGCCTGAATAATCCCAGCATCATGTCCTTACTTACCAACGGTGCTGGCTTTGGGATGTGGTGTCACTACTGGTGTTCCTTGTCATTGTGACTTGGATGACTTCTTTAGGCTGTCCAGATTTCCTTCTCATTCTAAACAACCCCTTCAATCTTCCCCAGAGGGATCGGTCATTCTGGAGGAGAGAGACACACCGTGAGAGAGGATGCAGCCAAAAGGAAATGAAGGCCGGGACACAATTCTTCCCTTAGTCACAAGGACTCGTCTCAGAGCAGCCTCCTCCGACTCGGGGAGCTTCAGATCGGCTGTGACTTTGAGTCCCAGAATTCCCAATTGTTAACTGGGAAGCATCAGAACAGGATTCAAATCCATACCATGCCCTGAAACTCAACTGGTGTTGTGACTCCGACCCCCGAGGCCGACTTATCGGAGGGAGAAGGCTCTGAACATGAAGGAGAGGAGTTGGCCAGGCATCCCTCTCCAGGACCCTCCTCTCTGGCAATGCCTCAGGTGTCTCCTGAAGGAGAAGAGATTGGCCAGGAGCCAGGTATCTCCTCGCAGTCGGACAGTGACGGAGATAAGTCTTGGCTGGATCCACGCCAGCGTCGGAGAGATAGGCGCGCGCAGAAGAGATTAGGCTGAGTCACTGGACCACACCCCAAAGGGGATAAAAGGAGGTGAGGTGGCCATTCAGACTCTGTGACGGACAAAACTAACTACTAGCGAGTCACATTGTATCTTTGAAACAACGTTATCTGCCTTGGATTTAATACGGACTGGACTTGTCAATTCTTAAACTGTGTGTATCTTGTTTGGGTTTATCTGTCGGAGGAACAACCCCTCCCTCTATGAGTAAAGTTCTTGGCAAGCAGCTACTGGGTTGCTGCCAATCCTCTTATCGAAAGAATTTGTTGTCTGCCAGTTTTATTTAACCCCTGACTATCTGTTTGTGTGCGTGTGTGAGACGGGGACAGAACAACTGGTTGATCTTGAACAAAGCTCTCATTCTCTCCCTCTGTCTCCCTCTATCTCTCTGTTTTACTCTTTCTCTCTGTCTCCCTGCCTCTCTCTCTCTCCCCCCCCCACTTTTATTCTGTCTCTCCAAGGGTGACCAACTTCTATAAATTACAGTTCATTAGCTATAGCTCTTTCTTACTTTCTCCTGTTCTAGGATGCGGATTTGGCACTCCAGTATTTGACATTTATGGTGAATTTCCAGGTTGGCTTTTTGAAGTTTCACCATTTTTTCCATAATTTTGGAGAGGTTCTCCAGGTAGTGTAGACCCGGTCCTGGCATGGAGCGGGATGCCGGCTGTTGTGCCTAGAAAATAAACATCATGCAGAATTCTGGAATCGGCACGCTCTCCACAAATAATACTTTCTCTGGCCCTCACATAATGTGCGGGAAAACCAGTTAAACTATCCTACTTCTTCAACAGCTCCAGAGATGGGAAACTCACAACCTTATTTGGTAGACTATCGCGCAGTGGTGAAGTCCAAATTTTTTTACTACCGGTTCTGTGGGCGTGGCTTTGTGGGCGTGGTGTGGCTTGGTGGGCGTGGCAGGGGAAGGATGCTGCAAAATCTCCATTCCCACCCCACTCCTGGGGGAAGGATACTGCAATATCTCCATTCCCACCCCAGTCCAGGGAAAGGATACTGCAAAATCCTCATTTCCTCCCCACTCCTAGGGAAAGGATATTGCAAAATCCCCATTCCCTCCCCACTCCTGGGGGAAGGATACTGCAAAATCTCCATTCCCACCCCAGTCCAGGGAAAGGATACTGCAAAATCCCCATTCCCTCCCCACTCCTGGGGGAAGGATACTGCAATATCTCCATTCCCACCCCAGTCCAGGGAAAGGATACTGCAAAATCCCCATTTCCTCCCCACTCCTGGGGAAAGGATATTGCAAAATCCCCATTCCCTCCCCACTCCTGGGGGAAGGATACTGCAAAATCTCCATTCCCACCCCACTCCAGGGGAAGGATACTGCAAAATCCCCATTCCCTCCCCACTCCTGGGAGAAGGCTATTGCAAAATCTCCATTCCCATCGCACTCTGGGGCCACCCAGAGGTGGTATTTGCTGGTTCTCCGAACTACTCAAAATTTCCACTACTGGTTCTCCAGAACCTGTCAGGACCTTTAAACCAAGTCTAGGTAGCTGCAATTTATACCAGTTATTACTATTACAGCTATCATTTCTGGTCCTAGTTCCTGTGGTAATGGAGAATAATTCCTGTGCACTTTTTCTGGAGTTTCCCTTTCTGTTCTTTCCAACACTCACCTCTTCTTTTGTTTTCTCCTCCTCAAGGATTCTGCCGCCTGAGGTAGCTTGACTGCATCCTCCAGAAGCCTCATCGAGAACCCCATCAACACTCACTGGATTCACACACTGTAGTAAAACATGATTTATTGAACAAGCCATTAATGGCCTGATTTGCACAATGATAACCAGCATGACAATGTAGAAATTGGAGTTTAGGCTCTTAAGAAAGTAACAGAATAGAATAGAATAGAATAGAATAGAATAGAATAGAATAGAATAGAATAGAATAGAATAGAATAGAATAGAATAGAATTTTTTTTATTGGCCAAGTGTGATTGGACACACAAGGAATTTGTCTTGGTGCATATACTCTCAGTGTACATAAAAGATACATTCGTCAAGAATCATAAAGTACAACACTTAATGATAGTCATAGGGAACAAATAAGCAATCAAATCATATTAGGAAACAGTCAATATAAATCGTAAAGATACCAGCAACAAGGTTACAGTCATAAGTGGGAGGAGATGGGTGATAGGAACGATGAGAAGATTAATAGTAGTGCAGACTTAGTAACTACTTAGTAATAGCATTTCTATAGAAAAAAGGGACTTGAAATATTGTAGTTTGCAGCTATTTAAAACAGGGGAATTTATCAGTAGTGTTTGAATAGCAAATTTAAACCCAATGCTTTACAACTACCGTATTTTTCGGAGTATAATTAATTATACTTAGTTTTTGGGGAGGAAAATAAGAAAAAAGCTGATTGGCAGGTGGATCGGCCTCCAATCAGCTGTTCCCAGAGGTGAATTTTAGCAATAGGTTCCTTGGTTGTGAGCTCTGTGCCTTGCTTTTTTTTTCCCCCTGCCTCTGAAAGCCTCCGAAACAGCTTCAGAAAAAAAGCCTCTGAAGCTTTGTTTGGAGGCTTCTTTTCTGAAGCTCTGTTTGGAGGCTTTTTTTCTCAAGCTCTGTTTGGGGGCTTCTTTTCTCAAGTTCTGTTTGGGGGCTTCTTTTCTGAAGCTCTGTTTGGGGGCTTCTTTTCTCAAGCTCTGTTTGGGGGCTTCTTTTCTCAAGCTCTGTTTGGAGGCTTTTTTCCTGAAGCTCTGTTTGGGGGCTTCTTTTCTGAAGCTCTGTTTGGAGGCTTTTTTTCTGAAGCTCTGTTTGGGGGCTTCTTTTCTCAAGCTCTGTTTGGAGGCTTTTTTTTCTCAAGCTCTGTTTGGAGGCTTCTTTTCTGAAGCTCTGTTTGGGGGCTTCTTTTCTGAAGCTCTGTTTGGAGGCTTTTTTTCTGAAGCTTCATTTCTGATGCTTTTTTCAGCCTCTGAAATCTCCATTTGAGAAGCTGGGCGGGGCTACATTCGGACTATAAGATGCACCTAGATTTTTACTGTCTTTTTTGAGGGGGGGAAGGTGCATCTTATACTCCAAAAAATACGGTATATTATACAGTACTTATTGTAGAATCAAAAACCTCCCCTCTTTAAATTTGAAAATCAAAAGCAACTATTTGTAAATCTATGCTGTACACGTGTGGGATTTCATCAGCAGGCATATAACAAATAAAGAGACCAGGATTACCCCAGAAACCTGAAATTATTATTTCCTTGCTAGCCAAGTACATGTTTTGCTCATGACTAATTAATCATCCTTTCATCCTGCCACTCCCCCATCCATCCAAAATACAATCAGAGAGAGGAGGAACTTCGGTGGCGATACATGCGGATTAAATAAGATGATGTAACTCAAAAGCTATGCAGAACGGGAACACAATTTCTCCAAATGTAATTTTGGATCAGACTGGAATTCAGCTCCCCACACCTAATATTACCTTGTGTGCTCTATTACCTCTCCAGCACTTTCCTCACTGCCAAATATTAGTCACTCCCTGGATTGTGTTGTATTTTGCCACTGGCAAACACTTTACTTTGGACAAGGGATATTATTGACTCCCTGGCTGTCAATTCCTGTTCCAGGCAGCTGAGAGTAACCGAAGCAGAGTGGCAGCTTTTGAGGAACACAAGCAAAGATCAACGTGTTTGCCTCAGAATTTCAGGGTTTCTCAACCTCAGCAAACTTTTAGATAGGTGAACTTCAACTTCCAGAATTCCTCAGCCGTGGGAATTGTGGGAATTCACATTTCTTAAAGTGCTGAGGTTGAGGGACATAGCCTTAAAAAGACAGTTTTCCACAAAGGTGCAGATCCGCCTTCCTGAACTTTCTGTCCTCCTTCGCTTTTGGACTTCAGTTTCCGGAACTTTTATCCAGCATAGTTAAACACTGGTTGAGTTTCCTGGGAGAAAAAGATCAAACTTTTTGGAAACCATTCAGAACTTTTCAGAATATTCGTGGCATCTAAACGTGTCAGCAAAAGTTGAATCTCAATGATTATATGACTTCATTCCTGGTCAGGCAAGAAGTTTGTTGACTTTAACTCCCAGCCACTATGGCTGGCTGAGGAATTCTGGGAGTTGAAGTCCACAAGTGGCCGAGATTGGATACCTGAGGTTAAAGAATTCCAACTGGTAGGGACTAGGAGGAGAGGCTTTGCTTGTCAAAAGGTCCCAAAAGGTAACCACCTGATCCTGGAACATTGCACCCGTCATAAATACGAGCCAGTTGCTAAGTGCCTGAATTTTGATCTCTCCATGGGGAGGCTGCAATGATCATAAGTGTGAAAAATGGCCGTAAGTTACTTTTTTCTGTGCCCTTGTAATTTCCAATAGTCGCTAAATGAATGGGTGTAAATTGGGAATTACCCATAATGGAACAGAAGTATCAGAAATGGATTCAAAGCCATACCAGGCCCTGAAACTCAACTGGTTGCTCTTCAAAAAAAATTCTCTCTGTGTCTCTCTCTGTCTCTCTTTCTGTCTGTGTGTCTGTGTCTGTCTGTCTGTCTGTCTGTCTCTCTCTCTCTCTCTCTCTCTGTGTGTGTGTCTCTCTGTCTCTCTCTCTCTCTGTGTTTCTCTGTCTCTCTGTGTGTCTCTCTATCTCTCTGTCTCTCTTTCTTTCTCTGTGTCTCTTTCTGTCTCTGTCTCTCTGTCTCTCTGTGTGCGTCTCTCTCTGTCTCTGTGTGGCTCTCTCTGTCTCTCTCTCTCTCTGTGTCTCTGTCTCTCTCTGTGTGTGTCTCTCTCTCTGTCTCTCTCTCTCTGTCTCTCTCTGTCTCTCTCTCTCTCTGTGTCTCTGTCTCTCTCTGTGTGTGTCTCTCTCTCTGTCTCTCTCTCTCTGTCTCTCTCTGTCTCTCTCTCTCTCTGTGTCTCTGTCTCTCTCTGTGTGTGTCTCTCTCTCTGTCTCTCTCTCTCTGTCTCTCTCTGTCTCTCTCTCTCTGTGTGTCTCTGTCTCTCTCTGTGTGTGTCTCTCTCTCTGTCTCTCTCTCTCTGTCTCTCTCTCTGTCTGTCTCTCTCTCTGTGTCTCTGTCTCTCTCTGTGTGTGTCTCTCTCTCTGTCTCTCTCTCTCTGTCTCTCTGTCTCTGTGTGTCTCTCTCTGTCTCTCTTTCTCTCTCTCTGTGTGTGTGTGTCTGTCTCTCTGTGTGTGTCTCTCTCTCTGTCTCTCTCTCTCTCTGTCTCTCTCTCTGTGTGTCTCTCTCTGTCTCTCTCTCTGTCTCTCTCTGTGTGTGTCTCTGTCTCTGTGTGTGTGTGTCTCTCTCTGTCTCTCTCTCTCTCTGTCTCTCTCTCTCTCTGTGTCTCTCTCTGTCTCTCTCTCTGTCTCTGTGTGTGTGTGTGTGTCTCTCTCTCTGTGTGTCTCTCTGTGTGTGTGTGTGTCTCTCTCTCTGTGTCTCTCTGTGTCTCTCTGTCTGTGTGTGTGTGTGTGTCTCTCTCTGTGTCTCTGTCTCTCTGTCTATCTCTCACTGTGTCTGTCTCTCTCTGTGTCTCCGTCTCTCTGTCTCTGTATGTGTGTCTCTCTCTGTGTGTGTGTCTCTCTGTCTTTCTCTCTGTGTGTCTCTTTGTCTCTCTCTCTGTCTCTGTCTGTCTCTGTCTCTCTCTCTCTGTGTGTCTCTTTCTGTCTCTCTGTGTGTGTGTGTGTGTGTGTCTGTGTGTGTGTGTGTGTCTGTGTGTGTGTGTGTGTGTGTGTGTTTCTCTCTGTCTCTGTCTCTGTCTCTCTGTCTCCCCCCTCTATTCTGTCTCTCCAAGGGTGACCAGCTTCTATAAATTACCATTGATTAGCTATAGCTCTTTCTTACCTTCTCCTGTCCCAGGGTGCAGACCCGGCTTTCCAAGGTCCGGATTCGACATTCCAATACTTGTTGTTCATGTTGGATTTCCTTATTGGCTTTCTGCAGTTTCGCCATTTTTTTCCATAATTTTGGAGAGGTTCTCCAGGGAGCGGAGACCCGGTCCTGGCACGGGATGGGATGCCGGCTGTTGTGACTAGAAAATGAACATCATGCAGAATTGTAGAATCAGCACGCTCTCTACAAATAATACTTTCTCTGGCCCTCACACAGGGGTGGGTTCTAAATTTTTTTACTACCGGTTCTGTGGGCGTGGCTTATTTTGTGGGTGTGGCTTGGAGGTCATGTGACTAGGTGGGCGTGGCTAGCTGGTCAGAGTCATTTCTGGAAGGTCTTCGCGCTTACGACCAGTCCTCGCACTTACGACCCGACTCATTTGTTTGCTTTTAACACTGATCAGCTGTAGGACAGCCCTTTGAAGCCCCGCGGCAAGAGTTTAAACAGGTTTTTTCTCTCTAGTCATCAGCTGGGACTCAGGAGGCAGCAATAGATTGGGGGTGGGACCAAATAAAAGGTAAGAATAACGTGGGGGGGTGAGGGGGTGGGAGGGCGGGTGGGGAGAACCGGTTCGGTGACGTCCTATCGTCACCGCTACCGGCTCGGCCGAACCGGACCGAACCGGGAGGAACCCACCACTGCTCTCATATAATGTGTGGGAAAACCAATTAAACTATCCAACTACTTCAACCTCTCCAGAGATGGGAAACTCACAACATTTAGTAGACAATTGGCCTGTTGGAAACCCCATTCCCTTGGTTGGTAGACTGTTGTCTCGTTGGACAGCTCTCATCATTAGAAAGATTTCCTTATGTTTAAACCAAGTCTTAAGTATCTGCAACTTATATTAGTTAGCTGTCCCTGCTCCACCAGAGCAGTTTCAGAAGACTCCTCAGGTCAACTTGGTCCAACTGGCATCTTTCCCACACTCACCTCTTCTTTTGTTTTCTCCTCAAGGGTGCTGCTGTCTGAGGTAGCTTCATCCAGAACCACTTCAACACTCACTGGCTCACATGGGTAGTGGCAGGACTTCAACTCCTCCAAATCTGGAGAAGGCTTCTTGGGCATAGGCACGAGGTTCTTCTGGAATCTCTGGACCACATCGCCGAGCTTCCTTTTGACACAGAAATCCTGCCAGGCACTATCCACAATGGGCAGCAGTGCTTCTGGTCTTTCTTGGGGGCAACCCTCCTGAATGGCTGGAACAGAATCATCTCCATCTAGGCAATCCAAAGAAAAGCTTTTTTCGGATTCCACCGGAGTCAAAGGGACGTGATCGCCGCTGGCCAACTCCACGCCGGAATCTTCCGATTCAGATTTCAGAAGCCGTCCGCTCATGGGCAAGAAACCCAGCTGGTGGGGGACGGCATCCGTTGGAGATCCAGCCTCAGCCAATCGATCATTCCCTACGCTCGTTTGGTCTTCAAGAACCAGGCTGAGCTGAGATTGGGGTTGAGTGATCTGCAGGTTCCAGGACATGTTGACTGAGGTTAATACCACAGGGTTCCCAGCTGGTCTCCGGACATTATCTGCAAATGAGAATGGAGACTGATGAATAGAAGCCATTCCCCTTCCATCAAGGTTGCACAGAAACTATGTAAATAGAGTGGCTAACCAGGTAATAGCTCCGCCTCAGCTCCTCCCCATGCTAATGATCCCCAAGAGCTTGGGATCAACACCTGAAGAAACCTCCTTGCCACATTTGCATTCCAGAAATATTCCTCACAGGTACGTGACTCAGGCAGCAGCCAGGTCTGGCCAGAAGAGTGGAGAAGGCATCTTGGGAGGCTCCGGAGAAATTATCTCTGGCAAAGTGCTTCTAGATAATTGTACCGTATCCCTAGAATGCAACAGATTCCGTCTCTTCTCTTTCCACTCTACCAGGGGTGAAATTTCAGCAGGTTCTGACAAGTTCTGGAGAACCGGTAGCGGAAATTTTGAGTAGTTTGGAGAACCGGCAAATACCACCTCTGTCTGGCCCCCGAGTGGGGTGGGAATGGAGATTTTGCACAATATCCTTCCCCCAGGAGTGGGGAGGGAATGGGGATTTTGCAATATTCTTCCCCTGCCACGCCCAAGCCACACCCATCAAGCCACACCGCACCCATCAAGCCACGCCCACAGAACTCGTAGTAAAAAAAAAATGAATTTCACCACTGCATGAGGGGTGAAATCCTGCAGGTTCTGGAGAACCGGTAGTGGAAATTTTGAACAGTTCGGAGAACCGGCAAATACCACCTCTGGCTGGTCCCAGAGTGGGGTGGGAATGGAGATTTTGCAATATCCTTCCCCAGGAGTGGCAGGGAATGGAGATTTTGCAGTATCCTTTCCCAGGAGTGGGAGGGAATGGGGATTTTGCAGTATCCTTCCTCCAGGAGTGGGAAGGAATGGGGATTTTGCAGTATCCTTCCCCTGGAGTGGAATGGGAATGGAGATTTTGCAGTATCCTTCCCCTGCCACGCCCATCAAGCCACGCCCACAGAACTGGTAATAAAAAAAATTGGATTTCACCACTGCACTGCACTCTACCATTTGGTCTCAAACAGGGATGAAGGAAAAAAGGCAGAGAAAATAGAGGCAAATAGCTTCCTTTCTGGCTATTCATGCATTTTTGTAAGGAAACTGTAGTGTGGCTTACTAGGTACTGTATGAACTCTCCTGACGGTGCTTATTAAACAAGTCAGTTGATGAAACCAGGATTTAGGTACAATGTGCATCTTAAATCTTTCTTCCTCTCCTTTCCTCTCCCCCACTCCTTTTCTTCTATGCTTGCAGAATGGGTTATGGGGAAGGAGCAGAAGTCTTCACTCAATGTCTGCATAGACTGCCTACAGGCTGTTTTTGAAATTAAGGGCTCCGGGGTTGCTGAGTCCTTTGTTTAAAATATAGGCGTGATGGTTATAAGAAGAAGAGTCTCATGCAAACTTTCCAATACAACCATCCCAGTGAAGCAGTGAGACTTCTCTCCTAGACACACTCTCAATTCAAGGCATTTCCCCACCCAAATATTTCAGGCTACTGATATTATCTTTTGACGCTCCTTGGAAATCCAGCATTGCTGTTAACCTGCAGATGCTATCATTCAAAACATGTTCCATGTCTTCAAACTTGAAGCAGGCCTTGAAATAAACCCAGTTAGAAATACCCTACGATCTTTAAGAGCAGTGTTTCCCAACCTTGGCAATGGCTATAGCTGGGGAATTCTGGGAGTTGAAGTCCACACATCCTCAAGTTGAGAATCACTTTTCTACACTCCTCTAGTCCACCTTCTACCTACCCTGCACTAGAACTATTTCAATTCTTTTCTACGCAGCTCCATTTTTCTTTTCTGCCTGTTTTTGTTTTTTGAATACTTTCTGGCAATCCAGATTGAGTGTCATTTCTTAGATAAAAGAAGTGAATAATAACAGAGTACAGTCTGTTCTACAAATGTTATCTAAATGATCCTAAAATACCTCCCTAGACATTTCCCAGGTATGACAGATAAATTGAGAACAGAACAGAACAGAACAGAACGGAACGGAACGGAACAGGGTAGGGTAGGGTAGGGTAGGGTAGGGTAGGGTAGGGTAAGGTAAGGTAAGGTAAGGTAAGGTAAGATAAGGTAAGGTAAGGTAGGGTAGGGTAGGGTAGGGTAGGGTGGAGTGGAGTGGAGTGGAGTGGAGTGGAGTGGAGTGGAGTGGAGTGGAGTGGAGTGGAGTAGAGTAGAATAGAGAAGAATAGAGTAGAGTAGAGTAGAGTAGAGTAGGGTAGAATAGAGAAGAGTAGAGTAGAGTAGAGTAGAGTAGAGTAGAGTGGAGTAGAGTAGAGTAGAACAGAGTAGAGCAGAGCAGAGCAGAGCAGAGCAGAGTAGAGTAGAGTAGAGTAGAGTAGAATAGAATAGAATTCTTTATTGGCCAAGTGTGATTGGACACACAAGGAATTTGTCTTGGAACATACACTCTCGGAGTACATAAAAGAAAAGATACCTTCATCAAGAATCATAAGGTACAACACTTAATTATAGTCTTAGGGAACGAATAAGAATCACACAGAAAGGTGACAAAGCCTCTCTACTGCATTAATATCTTTAGCATGGATCTAAAATAAGCGTCCTCACTGAGAAAGCAGGCAGAAAAGTCAACACCCTCCTCCCCAAATCCTTTTCATTAAGACTTTAGAATTCTTCATAAATTCAAATTCCACAACAGTTATAAAACAAATCATGACCTAAGAGTTATCATTTTTATCAAAATATACAGGGGAGTTGTTCACATTGAACCTGTAGACCTACAATCAGAGGTGGGTTTCAGCAGGTTCTGATCAGTTCTGGAGAACCGGTAGCGGAAATTTTGAGTAGTTCAGAAGAACCGTTAGTAAAAATTCTGACTGTTCCCACCCCCATCTATTTTCTGCCTCTCAAGTCCCAGCTTATCGGGAAGAAATGGGGATTTTGCAGTAACGTTCCCCTGGATTGAGGAAGGAATGGAGATTTTGCAGTATCCTTTCCCCGGAGTGGGGTGGGAATGGAGATTTTACAGTATACTTCCCCTGCCACACCCACCAATCCATGCCCTGCCCACCAAGCCACACCCACAGAACCAGTAGTAAAAAATTTTGAAACCCACCACTGCCTACAATTCAACAAAACTGAGAAACCTGTGGATGATATTTATGGGGAGGGGGGAAAAAAAAGACGTTGAAGATCCTTTGAAAATAACTGCAACAGAGAAGAGTTGAATTTTGAGTGCAGCTTTTAGTGACGTGCTTACAAAATTACAACGACTACTAGGACTTCAAAGGATCCTTTAATTCAAACCCTACAAAAGGATTTCCTCCATTGCTGAACCGTCTACATAAAATCAGGGTTTTTTTAAAACAGGGAGAACCCGATCTTAATTCCAATCAGATGACCTCTCCAGCAGGAATTTCTGAAATCCTTATTTTTGTAATTTCAACCCAATGCTACTTTCTAGAGAGCCACGCACTCCTCTAACTATGCAACAGCTCTTCAAATATTTGAAGATCTCAACCGCTGTGTAACCTTTTTAGCAATGAACATTCCGGTATTGCATCAATTCAGGTCTGATTTTCTTTTTTCTTTTTTTTTAAAAAAGGCATTCAGCATTCCTTCCTCAACAGACAGGAATACCAAGAGTGGTTGAGTGAGCAGAAGTGACACTTGCCTACTCAAAAACATCAGCCTCATGTCTATAAAGAGAATGAATGCACAGTGCTCAACCCATTTGGGATGAGGAAACACGACATTTATTTGTGCTCCATCTCGGCCTTTTAAAAAACCTGCATTCCTTCATTCAAAGAAAGGCTATTTCCTTCTGTTCTCGGGAGATTCTCAATCGTCCAGGTCAGTAGTGATATTTACTTACTGTTCTGCCCCAGCTACGGACCCCAAAGAACGCAGCACGCACAAAGTCTGTACAAACCTTAGTTTACTAAATCAGTCTTTTTCAAACAAAGGCTGTTAATTAACTTTCTTAACAGCCTACAAGAATCCAAAGAATAAAATAATAATCGTAATCTTATTAGGGTTGGCAGAAAGCCCAGAAGCAATTTGCAGAGAACTAAGATCAAGACGCGAAGGAGAGTGAACGAAGTTGTTCCCTGCAAATTGCTTCAGTCGGCGTTCTTCCTTAAATAGGCCAAGGGAGTGGCCAATTAGCCCCAAGACTTACTCTCGAGGAGACCTCCTCCTGAGGAACCACTCCTGCCTTTTGGCAGTTCTGCGCACCCGTGCATCGAGAAGAGGCTCCTCCTTTTCGTCCTCTTCACTTATGGGAGCTTCTGGAGGTTCTGAAGGCCCTGGCTGAATCCCCGCTTCAGGCACCACATCTTCTCCAGCCTCCTCATTGTCCGACTCAAGCGCCAGCTGCACAGGCTGCTGGCGCAGCACCACACCAGCCTCCTCGCTGTCGGAATCAGCTACTAGCTGCACAGGCCACTGACGGGCCACAACACTTACCTTCGCTACCGGTTTGCAAATGTGAGCATGCGCGCCACCTCTGTGCATGCACAGAGGGTCCGTGATGACGTCTGGGTGGGTGGGAAGAGCCTCCCGAACCGGATTAATCCCACCACTGATCCAGGTCATGGTTGTCCCAAAGGTGCTTTCGTTCCCAAAAGGCGACTGGACTTTGTTTTCCTGGAAGACATTTTGCTTCTCATCCAAGAAGCTTCTTCAGTTTTGACTGAAGTGATGAGTTATTTCTTTCTGTTTCGCCATCTCTGCTCCTTTTGACAGTAAAGTCCTTACAACCAGGCAACCACTCTCAGTCGAATATCCTCCAGATGTCTGAGACTTCAATCCCAACATCTCTTAGCAAGCCTAGAGGGCAGGTTGGCATAAACTCTCCTATCCATCCTCATGACAAAGCCTGATTCCACTGTCTGGGAAGACTTTCAAAATCCTTTGTTGTTGTTGTCGTTAGTTGCTAAGTCGTGTCCGACCCATTGTGACCCCATGGACAACATTCCTCCAGGCCTTCCTGTCCTCTATCATCCTCTGGAGTCCATTTAAGCTCACGCCGACTGC